GCCGTCCTACGATTACAGCGGGAGGCCGTACAGCAGGTGAGTTGTGCGGGCCCTGCAGCTCCTGCAGCGCCTGTCGGGTGTGCAGCCCTTCGGTCGCTGCTCTGGGGAGCGAGCCCGAGCTGGGACGCTGCTGGGGTTATTGTCTGCTTGCTCCGAACAGGACTGGCCTCTCAGCCAGCTCTGGGTGCCTGCTGTTGAGTTCCTGTTGCTCTGTTTTATTAAGAGCATAATTTATATTCTGTAAATGGAGATATAAAGCAGTTGAATAGTTTTCTTTCTGCATTTTAAGGTAAAGATTAGAAAATTGAAGGAGAGATTATGTGAGCAGCCTTAATTATATGAACATTCTCCACATCTCTTTATCATCGTTCTGTAAGTCCATCTCCAGTCACTGAGGGAGTGAAAATTAGTTTCAGTGTCATAAAATGAGCCTGCAATGTCAATGGCGAGTCCGAGGCTTTAGCAGGGAAGTGTGGTGCCTGTTCCTGGGTTGGGGAGCCCCTAGGAGCCCGGTGTGAGTGTCCAGCCTCCGGATGAGGGTTTTGTCTGGGTCCATGTCCTGGGTGATCCCTGGGAGAGGTGGAGCAGGATTGCAGTGCTGTGGTGAGGCTGAACTCTGCTAGCACGAGGAGAGAAAGGAGAATAAGCTCTGGGTTTTCCTTCTTTATATTTGTTTTTCCATAGTTAAATATTTTGGACACATTTCCTGAACTTTTTGTACTCAGGCTTGGAAATGGTTAGTGTCGAGCATAACTTAAAGAGGTTGTTTAGGAGCAGAATATAGCTTTGGTTCGGCTTTTTTCATTAAAGGTAGCAATGTACATTTTTATACCTGTTTACAGGTCTACAGTCTGTCATGGTAATTGCCTTTAGTCAATGGGTAATGCTCATTTCTCCAGGCCTCTGGCTTAAAGCCAAAAAGCAAGACAAGCATATATATAGCAAGAATTCTCTTGTGTAGCTTAATAGTATTATTTATGAGGGTTTGAACTGATGAATGTGGCTATATATGCCTAAAAGGCATCTAATGTGCCTTTTTTTAAAAAGAAGAAAGAAGTGTTGTTTGCTGTGACTTATTTACTGAAAATAAGCTTTGCTTTTGCAGGGAGGTGTTTAAAATAGAAGTCTGTATCTGTCCATAATGAGGTGGTGTTCTTTGTAGGCAGTATGGAGGCTATGACTACTCCCAACAGAGCGGATTTGTCCCTCCAGACATGATGCAGCAGCCTTACACAGGGCAGATTTACCAGCCGACACAGACGTACACTCCAACCTCAGCACAGTCTTATTATGGAAGTAATTTTGAAGATGAGCCTCCTCTGCTAGAAGGTATACCTTGTTCTTTATGGCTAAAATCCAAAGCTCTTCCCAATTTGGGGATAAGTTGAGTAGCAGAGTGTGTATTCCCTACTTCTGAAAGTGCACAGTTGATTTGAAATTATCTTTTTTATTTACCTGTATGTTGGTATATGAATTACATGTTTGTGTGTGGAGCATTCTGCAGTTTCAGAATTGTGCTTTATTACTTCATACCAGCTGCTGTGTGGAAGATGTAATCCATTAAATGGATAACCCGACTTCATACAGCACCTATGACAAAATACTTCATATCTCTTGTTGCCAATAAAACTTATAATTTCCCACTTCTTGTAAAATAAGTTGATGCAGGTAGTTTCAGTTGATTCTTTGGCTAGAGCTGAAGTCTCTCATTGCTAAAAAGGAACACTAAACACTGCAGAAATGCCTGTGTAGAGCACAGCCTGTCCGGAGTGCCAGAATGGATACAAAGTTAGTGTCTGGATGGATGGTTTCAGTTTCCAGCTTGTACCCATCATTGGTCAGTGCCAAACTGCTGAAGAAACGCTGACTGTTACTGGTTAGAGAGATTATGGATGCCTGTTACCTGTATCTATACTTTCCACCCTGCTGTGCATGTTTGTGTTCTTCATAAAATTGTTTTGTTCACATAGATGCTTCCCAGAGCCCGAGGTGGGCAAACAGTGCCTGCATTCCTGGCTAGGGTTTGCTGCACAACTGTGGTCAAACTGGACAGATGGAGACTTGAAATCGTACCTGGCTGGAGGGTGCTGTGAAACTCCTTGTCATGAGACACGGAGTCTTAAAAGGGTGGATGGGTTTTTCAGTGGGCTCAGTGGCTGGTTTATGAAAGAGAAATCCACTGTCGGCAATTAATTACAGAGAAACTGCCTTGAGTCAGAAATCCTTGAGCCTTCAGTCATCGGAGACTTGGGGGATCTGCATGTTCTCTGCTTACACTCTCTCACACATACCTGCTTTTGGCCACTTACAGGGACAGGGTACTGGGCTAAATGAGCTTTTGGGCTGAACACTGTGCTTATGCTCTTACCTGGTCCTTTAGAAACCCCCTCCTTGTCACTTTGAACATTTGAGGAATCTGTGGAGGCTGCATGCTCAGCAGCCTGAGGAAAGATGGAATGACTCAGTGCTCTGGTCCCAGAGGATGGTATCTGGAGGAGACTTAAAAGTGGAGAGGCAGGGAAGACTAGGAGTGAAGCAAATGGAGGTGACAGGAAGGGAAAAAATGAGATAAATGTGCATAATTCTTTTCATGTAACTTGTAGAGTTGGGGATCAATTTTGACCACATCTGGCAGAAGACACTAACGGTGCTACACCCATTAAAAGTAGCAGATGGCAGCATCATGAATGAGACTGATTTGGCTGGACCAATGGTTTTCTGCCTCACTTTTGGAGCCACATTATTACTGGTAAGATATTGATCGCAAAACATTGCTGTTTGTCCATTAATATTCTTGGAAACGTTGGGAAAAAAGCCAAATTACCTGTAGATTTACTGGAAGTGACTTCTTGGCATGGAGGCCAAAAAACCACATCCTGACCAATAATTTGTAGCTACATGGGAGAGAATCTGGGGCTTCATGGTTCTCTAGTGATATTTAAGAGGCAAGGAAACTCAAAATTGATGTGTAAAAAGTTATTTCATGAGGACTGATACATTAGGCATGACTTCAGTATCAAGAGTCAGGCTGGTAAAGCACTTCTGAAATAGACCTGCTTTCAAACTGTTCTTACTTCTTAATAGGTCAGCAGCTGTTGAAGCCTGATGGTTTTTTTAGTTAAGCTTAATTGAAATAAAATTGTGCTTTAATGACTCAAAAGTGCCAATTACGAAATGACAGAGTAGCGGCAGTCTTCCTTGTCATTGAAAGCTTCAATATTTTTAATCTGTTTTTTTTTTTTTTTTCTAAGTGTCTTCAGGCACTGCATTTAATTTTTCCCTAAAATTTCTCATTGCTACGACAGTTAGAACACGGTGTTTTGGTACCAAGGGCACTTTAAGCCTCCTTTAGTAAGTAACCTTTACTTATGGAAACTAGGCCAGTAGAATTAATTAACATGTTTATAATAGAAACATTTGGATATTCTTTTCCTAAGAAATTATCACTTTCTCCTGTGTGCTTTTTTTAAAAAATAAATTGAATGTAGCAAGAGAAGACGCTGAGCCTAGCAAAGAGGTTAAAGCAGATCTGATCGCTTTCTATAGCACTTGAGGAGGAGGAGAGCTGGATTATAAGTAAGCTTCATTTGGAAGTTAGTGGGAGACAGACCTCGAAGCTATATACTATTGTAGCTTCAGTGCCTGCATGGCCCGGTGTTCCCGCAGGGGTGGATGGACACCTGCACTGTGTGCGTTCTGGTCGATGTTATAAGGGAAACACCGATCTCCTTGTTGGAAAAACAGGCGGTGACATAGGATACGTATGTTTTGAAATAATGCGCTTACGCTTTCTGCACTCTTGTTAGTAAGCAAAGTTCTGATTTTGACTTTTTAAAATCCACGGGATTTAATTCTGCCGTTCATGTACAGTGCTTTAAGCTCAGCTTCAGCTGGTTCTGGGAGTTTTCTGTAACTTACGTTGTGCTATACCGTTGTGGAGTCCATCACAAATTAAAGGACTTTAGCTCTGGATTTGTCAAGAAGTTCCTGACTTAAAGTTTTGTGGTCTTTAAACGCTACTTCTGTAAAGATTTTTGTTGCAAGTATTCTTCAGAGAACATTGGCAGAAGTTAGTTGATCATACCCTAAAGAATTCGTAGGCTTTTGCAGCCCAGATCAAAGAATAACAATTTGATCGAACTCTGTTCATCAAGATACACAAAGTTAAGGTAAATGTGTCTCTTGGGTGCCTCAAACATACAGGTGTCCTGGATTCAAGGTGTGGGAAAATACTGCTGGGGGATTTGGGTGGGGGCAACGAAGAACCTGGAGATATTCTCTGCACATGCCTTCCTTTTCCCTCTGTTGGTGGGAGGCATTCCTTGTCCTGGTTACTTACAGCATGTCTCTGCTTGACTTTCAGGCAGGTAAAATTCAGTTTGGTTATGTGTATGGAATAAGTGCAATCGGATGTTTAGGGATGTTTTGTCTCCTGAACTTAATGAGCATGACGGGTGTCTCCTTCGGCTGCGTCGCCAGTGTCCTGGGATACTGTCTTCTTCCTATGATCCTGCTTTCCACTTTTGCAATTGTATTTTCACTGCAGTAAGTACATAAACTTAATTGTTTGGTAATCGGTCCCTTTCCTGTGAGATGGTGAAGGGAGTTATTAAAAGGAATTTTCATAGTCAGTGATGAAACTGTGTGTAATTTGAGTGTGACAGGAATTTGTTGCAAGTGGAAAAACATCAACTGTCTTCAGGCATTTACTCGATGAAAGAGAAGTGAATGTTTTTCACAGTTTTATCTGCAAGTCAATTAAATAGATAGACTCAAATAACAGTATCAGGTTTGGTTTTAATCAGCTTTGAATCTGACAAATCTCAGTACCTGCAAAGTCTAACAGTAATTATAATTTCAGATACAGATTTGAATTTGATAGAAGAGAATCAGTATGATTCCTCATAGCTATGTGAAATTGAGAACAGAAAAGCAAGAACTTGCTACAGTTACATTAGTCACCGCTTTACGTTTCATATGCACAAAGTTAATTTTAGGGTCTTTTTATGCTGTCATAGCTGAATAATATGGTTCTGGAGTCTTTACTGGAACTGCTTCCTTTAAAAAGTCAAAGATAAATGCTAAAATTCATCTTAACGTCTGTAAAAGGTGTTGGAAGGAGTCTGGTTAGGACTCCTGTAAGCATATATACACAAGTCTCATGTTAAATCTCTTCCTATTTCTGTCTTTACAGGGGAATGATGGGGATTATTCTCACAGCTGCAGTCATTGGCTGGTGCAGCTTTTCTGCTTCCAAAATCTTTATTTCTGCCTTAGCAATGGAAGGACAACAACTTCTAGTAGCATACCCCTGCGCTTTATTGTATGGAGTCTTTGCTCTCATTTCTGTGTTCTGAAGAGACTGTCCAAACCGCTGGACTCCGTGGGCCAAAATGAAAACATCCACCTGGAACATTTAGTTGGACCAGAAGCAGCTGCAAACAGCTGTATAGCGTTGCTGTTGCAGAACTTAGACCTGTTCTGAATCATCTGGAACAATGAAATCAAATGTCTCGTGTTCACTTTTTTTAGGACTTTGAATACTGTTTTCAATTGACCGGAGGTGTCTATAGCTTTAATACCTGTTTCTGCTCATCAAGCTCATGTCATTCCTTGCCCATTCCTGTATCTTTAGAAGAGAAACTTTTGTTTGTTTATTTGAGGGCTGGTGTTGGTGGGGGGGAGGGTGGTTTTTTAGGGGAGGGAGAAGGATTGTGGTTAGAAGTGGATAGATTTTTATCAGCTAAAGTTAACAGAACTGCAGATGCCGTAGATTTGGGGTACTCTGAATAAATCTGCAGGAATAAAGAACCTATTTCCTGTCCCCTCTTATGAAAAGCAAAATGCACAAACGAACACAAGCGATTAGAGTATTTTCTGTATTTTAACAAACATACTCTTGAGCTCTTTGGTCTCATTTATTCGTTCATTTGATGTGATAGTATTTCAGGGTTTAAGATACTTAAATTATGAGTTAGAAAACAGATGCTTAAAAGTTAAAGGGATCTGTAATTCTGTCACACTTGAAATATGAATACATTTGGATGTCTAAGTAGCTATATGTTAACTTGGATTTCTGAAGATGACTTCAACTAGAGTTTCTTTTCCTAACGGTGCACATACTAGTAGATGAAGAGTAATCTCCTTTGCAGTACTTCCAAGAAAAACACTGTTTTGAAAATGTTATGCTTGTCAGTATTGTAGTTACTGTAAAATAATTTAAGGCATATTGATTAAATTTTCCTTAAATTTTGAAAGATGTGTTTGATTTTTCTGATCTTCCTTTTTTAATGGAGTTGAGTTACTAAAATTGAAACTTCAATATTGAAGCAAAATCATGTTTAACCTGTGTTCAGTCAGTGGATTTGATACTTGCTTCAGTCACAAATGCATAACCTAGTCTGTGATGTTTGTTAGTCACTTACAAGAAGTCTTACAAGTGTAAGAAGTGGGAAAGCAGGACTGGATGTTCTTCACATGAGCGCTTACTAATTCTTAAGCAAGAAAAGGTTAGAGATGTATCTGACTGATACTGGGGATGGGAGGTTATTTCTGTCGATGGTAATTCCCCGCCTTGGAACTGAAGCAGCTCTACCGAAGTGCTGGTTTATAACTGCCCTTTCTTCAGGAATTTCAACAAAATGAAATCTCTTGGATTAATTTACCCCAGGTGTTGGTCTGACGGTCATCTGTCATGTCCATGAAATGACCCATTTGTAGACTTCGGGAGCTGTGTCACTGGTCAGGTGTTACAGGTGAGACTGGGTACAGTGGGTGCATCCTGAGAGGAATGCTTTCATCTTACCAGGACGTGAAGGGATGAGTTCAAAGGCTCACACACTTTTTTGTTCACTCTTCGCTCAGTTCTGCACGTTCTCCTGAAAATATCTTCCTGGTGCCACTAGAAGCTACTGATGAGATCCTTCTGCATTGGCCAGAGCCAGCTTTTGCTCCTGTCACTGGGAGTTGTGGCAAGTGTCACATGGGTGGAAAGCCTTTAGGAACCGAAAGCGGATGCCCCAAACTGTTCTGACTCGTGTTCTGTGCTATAGCTGGCTGGTACAATGCATTTTAAAACTTGCACACACATAAAAAATGTTAGTTTCCTTCCAGAAGTGAATTCAAGAGCCTAGGTCATTTTCTACTTAGTACAAATCATCACCCTAAATAAAAGTGGTGAGTTGATTGTATTTAGAAAAACATTTCACTCTGTACTTCACTGTTCTGATTTCTTTGGAGGGTTAGACCTGCCTGCCCCAGCGCACAAAGTTCTTACACCCTTTAATGAAGAAGGTTGCCAGCTGATGGAGAGTGAGGTCCTGTATTTGTGCAAATACATCGCAGTGATTGCCTTTACTAATGAGGGCTAATTAAATACAGGATTGTTCTAGTGAGTGTCAAGGCTCACAGGTTGTTGAGCACACCAGGTTCCGATACTGAAGGTTTGTATTTCTGTGAAGCGGGCTCGTGGAGCTTACCTTGCATGTACCAATGCAGTTCATTTCCTAAATTTGCGCTGATTCTGCAGAGGGCTGCCAGGGGCATCGCGTGTGTGATAAACTGTTAGAAATGAGCTGTTCTCAGCACAGCACGGGCAAACAGTGCACGGGAAAAACATTAAAATAGCTTGTGCTAGTGTAGCACTGGTGATACAGCTGCTGAGTCTGGAAAGACCATATGAGAAGGTATTTATATATATCTGTGTGTGTATATATATATGTGTGTGTTCACAAAGTCCTTGCTCTGGCACTAGAGGTTCCCACACGTTCTGCTCGAGCAGTGAGGTTTGACCCGTTAGTCTCAGCAGCGTTTTGCGTTCCTCAGCTCGCCTGGTGAGATCTTTGCGGTGGATTTCTAGCTGGACTCCTGGGGGCAGGAGAGAACAGATGGGAGCAGAAGGTCAAACACTCGAGTTCATAAAGGACTTTATGAAAACACAGTATTGTGTCTAGACGGGTGGTCTTAAATGTCCCAAATTTCTGGTACATTAATTAATGTGATTCTGTTGGCTGTATTTATTGCCTTTCCAAAATCAATTCCATTGATTTTCTATAATAATATTTTGTTCTAGACGTTGCTTCAATTTCAGTTAAATTTCTGACGATTTAATGTTGCCATCACACAGAATGACAAGATTTTATGCTGTAGTTCTTTGCTCCTGCATTTGCCTTTCATATTTAGTAGGACTTTTTTTTCTCTTTACTTTCTAAATCTGAACTCCCCCACAGTCTGTTAACACCAGTATTTTTATCCAGTTTTCAGATGAAGTACTGACGTTACTTGCTTCCATCCTGCATTGTCTCTTGACATTTCCACGTTACTCATCTCAAAGCATTCAAACATGCATGCTGATGTTGCTTTTTTAAAACCAATTTTGTTATCACACCCAATCTTGAAATTACTTCTTCTTCTACAGAAGTTAAATTAAAAGTTCCCTTACCCAGTTTGTCCGTTTTTTCTCCCAGTTTGTGGATGTTTTGACAATGACTTTGTTTTTCAGGGCTTTGCTGTGAGGCTGCTGCTGGCTCAGCTCAGTTTGTTTCTATAGGCAAAGTTTCTGTAAGTACCAACAAATCACATGGCACATCCTTTACTAAAAAACATGTTTTTTTCTGTGCTCGTGTGCCTTTCACGTGCCATGGTGTTGGCGTCTGTTCTTGAGGGGCTCGTACTTGTTTAGTGATGGGTGAATACCTGCAGAAGCCCCAGAGAGCAGGGACTGATGTGGTGTTTGAAGCCAGATGTTCCTCCATCCTGCTGGCCGGAGAGGAGCATCCTGCGCTTGCCCAGGGATCACCAGCATCGCTCGTGCCTTGCGCTGCCATCTGTCCAGAACGATGACCTCTCTTCCGCGGAGCTGAGCGGCTCAGGCTGGGTGACTGCAGGGTCCATTCATGGGGGTCAGTGATAAGAAGCTGGAGTACCCTTGGGCTTGTCTCCAGGATGTTTTCACTGGGTAATCTGGGTGGTCCGTTATCCCCCTGGGGAAGGACGGCCGCAGTTGGGCACACGCTGCGTGGTGCTGAGCCTGGGTCACAGCCCGAGAGCAGGCAGTGGAGGTGGTCACCCCCTGATGTCCCAACGGGGCATTGGTTTGTACCAATACCATTCTTTAAAAGTTTGTTCATGTTTTTTAAGAACGACATTAGCTAAAAGAACAGCCAGCGCTCTGGGGTGTAACACACATTGCACCGCAGAAGCAGGGATCGCAAAGAGCACCTTGTCACTGCGCCGGCGGACTGACCTGGACGAGCCTTCAGCTCTGCCAGTGGCTGCAGTTAATGCACGCTGAATCGTAATAAAAACCAAAGCAATGGAGGAACTGGGGCTTGCTGTTTCATTCCTCTCCACTGGGTGGGTCTGCAACACCCCTGATGTGCGACACCCCTGATGTGCGGGGCGGCAGCTGCAGGACTGCGATGCTGCTGGACCGCGATGCTGCTGGACCGCGATGCTTCACCGGGGCTGGCACAGCTCAGCACCAGGAAGCCTTTGCCCTCCTCCTCGTCCCCTCCTTGTTTATGTCCCGCAGCATCAACAGCAGTGACACTCCCAGGCAGTCCAGCCGCTGGGTTTCTGTGTCGTGCCGTGGGGAAGGGATTTGTTTCAGTCGGAGCCTGTTGGGCAGAGATCTGTTGTGAGCCGAGCAGCCCTCCTGGCAACGGGGAACCTCTGCTTCATCTTACTCCTTGTATAAAGCTGTAATATTTCTGACCAGCATTTTTTTTTTTTTTTCACATTACCAGGAAGTCTCTTCGTTTTGTGTACCCAGTCCAAAAGCACATGAACTTATTCTCCTCTGGGTAATTCACTGCTTCTAGTGCAGCTTTTGTCCATGTAGGCTGGCACATCCTTCTTTTGCTGTACTTTTTAAATAACATCCCTTGCAGAACCAAAACAATTTATTTACACAATCTATGGGCTTAGGAGAGTTTTAAAAATATTTTTTGTTGTTTAGGAGTTGCAGGCCCTAACACCCCAAGATGTGAGGATCATTTGTTGTGGTTACCCTCACACATCCTGTGAGATGGGGACCTTCTGTTGTCCAGCTCTGTAGGAGAAAACGGAGCCGGGAGATGGGTGTGATGTGTGCGAGTCCTGCTGCGTTTGGTCGGCTTCCTTGCAGCAAAACATAGCAGGGTCGCTCTCCATGGGTGCGTTCTCAGCCCGGCTCTCTGGGACGCAGTTTGAAAGTGGGAGGAGACGGTGTAATTGGAAGGTCTGTCGGTGGTGGTTGCCAGCTTTGTGCTCTCCTGTCGAGAGCCAGCAGGACACCAGCCAAGCAGCAGTCCGCACGCTGGGAGGGACTGCAAGCGCTCTGCTCTTAAGGGCTTTTTTTTGGTCCTCTTATTTCTTTGCTTTATTGCAGGAAGTACCAACATTAGAAAAGCGAGGATTCTCCGGTCCTCATTGGGAATGGTGAAGTGGAAGATTGTGTAAAATTAGAGCCTGGTCCTGGAATAAGCCTCTCGCACATATCATGCTGTGGTTACGTGTCTTTAGGAAGAAGGGCATTGCTCTGTTTCTTTACAAACTGAATTCCACCACATCGTTCTTGGAATTACAATGCTCTTACCGTATACATTTCTGTTTGGTTTTTCCCAATATTTTTTGCTTTTCTGCTGTTAGCAGAGGAAAATCTGATGGGCTTGGATACCTGCCT